GCTCATGAGATTAGAGACATATACAATGTATTTTGTTCACAGGCCAACATGTCTTCCTACAATGCAGTATTCTTGGCATAGGGAGCTCTACAACATTCAAGTCCAAAGGGGTTCCAAAAGAGCCATGTTTTTCTTCACTTGTTTGGGGCCAGGAGGAGTTATTCCAAAGGAGAGGTGCCCATCCATTGCACATCTCAATAAATAGGGATGTTTAGCAGACATTCTCTGTTTTTGGATTGGGCAGGCACAGTTTCAACCTTTTGCTTTGAACAGAATCCTGTCTGCCTTTCCCAGGCTTCTACTGTCCGTCCGTCCCCCAATAATATTTCCTATGAAGTGTACTAAGCAGGTTCTAGGAACTAATTTCTTATGTATCTTTTCTTCAGGAATTCCAGGAGCTTTGGCCTCATCTTTCACTGGTCATCGATGGGGGTCCAACTGGGGATGACTTTAGTCCTGAGTGTCGGCTAGGCTCAACTGTGGTTGACCTCTCCATCTCTGGAAAATACAAGGTTATTCGACCAGGATGGTAAGCAACACATTATTTTAGGGTTGTTAAGTAGCTTACACTTGCTTCTTATGAAGGGGAAGCATTTTTGTGGTCCAAAAGAGTTGATGATGCAAAATACCATATTTTTCGGACTATAAGATGCACCCGAGTATAAGACGCACCAAGATTTTGAAGAGGTAAACAAGAAAAAAAAAGTTTTTGCCCTCCAAGGCCCCCAGGAGCATTCTGCAGGCCTCCCAAACCTGCGCGTCCTGTTTTTGCGAAAAACAGGCCTGTTTTGGGCAAAAACAGGATGAGCAGGCAGGGTTTCTAGAGGCCAAAAATGGCTGTATTCGGTGTATAAGACGCACCAACACTTCTACCCTCTTTGTGGGGTGGGGGAGTGCATCTTATACTCCAAGAAGTACAGCAGATGCACTTAAGCAGGCTTCTCGTTTCTGCATGTGCCTTGTGGACTGGGGAAACCCAAGTTATTGTACTGTATTGTGATAGTTCTCATTGCATTCCAGAATATTACAGCAGGAATCCCCCTCCTTTCCTGGCTCTATTTTGTAATTATCTCTTCATTTTTTTTCCAGTGCACTTACTCAAACTCTTGAAGTCCTGGCATCCAAGTATGGATTGAGAGCTGAGGTGTCTGGGGACTGAAATATTGGACCTTGGGGGCACTGAAGTGCTGTCAGGCTTTTCCAAGCCAAGAAAGTAAAACGTTTATGTGACCATTATGATTTCAAAGAGACTCTCCCTTAGATGACATCCTTGATGCTGTTGCAGCTTCAGAAATTGTCCAATTTGTGACTTTGAGGACTGTGGCCAAATGGCTGGATTTCCTTTAAGACTTAAAAGTGCAGCTATTTCTGATTACCTGAAGCATTTCTACATCTGGTTTGTCACACAGATTAGATAACTTTTCCTACTCTGTCTAAAGAAGCAAGCTTATGTGAACTGAAATCAGATCCTGCAAAGGATCATTAGAACATTTGGATATGAATAATTCAGTTGAATACATTGAATAATGTGGGAGGGTTGAATGCAGAGGGTTGAATATAGGACTAAATAAATGGGTGCAGCTATCTCTGTTGACCCATCTCATAACCTAACAGAAGGACCAATGTCGTTAAATGAAAACTATGCAATTTATGTGGCATTTTCCCCCCTATAAAGACAGGGTCTAGTTAGGGTTGAACCCAATTATTGCATGAATAGGAGACCACCAAAAATCCCAAGGCAATAAAGTAGTTTGGAAAATTAGAAAAACACTTGGGGTGGGGGGTGTCAGTGGCAGATTTTCTGCCTAGATAAGAATATGGACAATTCAAAAGTTGGGATTGACTGTTAACCTTGAATGGGCTGTTACAGAAAAAATTAAGTTGCTGAATGAGAATAGTTTTCTCAGACCTCATAACAATTACTCCAGAATGAATAAATTTGTCTTAACTGGATATAGGTTTTTGCAATGTTTTTATCCCCCAGGATTGTTGATTCAACAGATGCAAGTGCACGCTATTCCATATGCTCTGAAAATAACATCTAAAATGGAAGTGAAGGCAGCAGTTCCTGAAGTCTTAAATACAGTGTGCATTAACAGCCATTCTTTGTCTCTCTTCTGACCTTTTTTCTGCTGAACTGCTGCCTGAAATGGAACAGGTGCTGATATTATTTTATTGATATAATAAGCAGAGTTGACAGTGGCATTCCCAATACTAGAATATAACAAACAATCTTCTCTTGGAAGGAAAGAAGCCAGACTAAATATATGTTTGTAGTTTTGGGACTCTAGCAATAACATATTAGTAAAAAACTTAGTGTAAAATAGAATTTAATATTGTAAGCTGCCTAGAGTTACCCTGCTGGGGTAAGATGGGAAGCAAATAAATTTGACAGACAGATCTAGCTGAAGAAGAAGGGAAGGCTGGGGAAACTTTCCAGTTTAGGATTTTCTGCAGAGTCCAAACTGTCTTTTGGGGTACAGAGGAAAATAAATTTGCTTAACGCATTGTAAGCCGCCCTGAGTCTCCGGAGAAGGGCGGCATATAAATCAAATTAAAAGAAAAAAGATGCATTTTCCATTTTCCACTTGACTTTACTTGTCAGAAGTTGGCTGGGAAGTTTATAAATTGCAATCGTCATAAATGTGAGTGATCATGTGCAACAGTTGTAACTTCCAAAAAGATAGGTGATAAGACACTTTTTCCAAGGCCATTGTAACTTTGTTGTTGAATGGTCAGGTCAAAATTTGAAGAGTAATGGGGAACTTTAACTACCTTGACATCAACTGGGAAACAAACTACACCAATGGAATATCAAACAAGTTCCTGATGAACCTATCAGACAATTTTTTCTCCCAACAGGTAGAGAACGGAACCATTTAAGCCCAGCTATAGTGGACTTAATTCTCACTAACAGAGATGAAATTATAGCAGGGGTTGAAGTTACAGGAACTTTGGGGGAGAGTGATCATGTGATATTGGAATTCAACATAATGCCGACACAAGCAATAGAATAAAATCAAACAAATGTCTTAGAGATGTTAAAAGAGTTGATTTCAACAAACTTGGAGCCTGGGAAGGTTTTCATGGATGGAAATTGTTAAGGGGAAAACAAACTTGAGAAATACTGAAAAATATAAAATCTCAGTCTAGCATAGTACATTGAAAAAGAAATCACAGAAGAAACCAGCAAGATTGCATAAAGAACTGAAACAAAAAGTATAAAAGTGGAAAGAAGGAAACATAACTAAAGCAGAATACCAGCATATAGCCAGAATCTGCAAAGATAAAGTCAGGAAAGCTAAGACTGAATGAACAAAGACTTGCAAATAACTTTTAAATAATTTTAGAAGTTTCTTTCAACACATAGAAACAAAAAAGGAAACTATCAGTCCACTAATGAGAGAAGATGGCAAGGAGGTGACAGGGAGCAGGGAGATAACAGAACTGCCTAATTCATTGTTTGCATGTGTCTTTACACAAAAGGAAAAAATAGTCCAACCTACTAAAAGCAGAACCGTAAAAGATAGATTAGGAATAGAAGTCAATAACAGATTTTTAAAATTTGTAGGACATTAAAAGAATGAAGAGCCTTGGTAGTACAGTGGTCTAAAGCACCATTATTAAGACCAGCTGCCTGCAATTACTGCAGGTTCGAATCTCGCCAGGCTCAAGGTTGACTCAGCCTTCCATCCTTTCTAAGGTAGGTAAATTGAGGACCCAGTTTGTGGGGGCAATAAGCTGACTTTGTATAAATATACAAAAAGGATGAAGGTTATTGCTTAGCGCATTGTAAGCCGCCCTGAGTCTCCGGAGAAGGGCGGCATATAAATCAAATTTTTTAAAAAAATTATTCACTGTAAATGAGTCAGCGCTTTAGGACAGCTGTCTCCAACCTTTTGGGCACTAGGGACCAGTTCCATGGAGAGGTTTTTCTGCAGACCGGAAGAGATGTGGTTTCACGTGCTGCCTGCATCCTGTGGACAGGGTTTTGCTTGTTTGCGCAGCCTGATTTCTGGCATGCTGCAGACTGATGTGGGTCCATGGACTGGGGGTTGGGGACCACCGCTTTAAAAGATAAGCTCAAGATGCAAAAGGATCTTGACGAACTTGAATACTGGGCCCTATCCTCAAAAAAAATGCTATTCACTGGTGAGAAAACTATGGTTTTAGAATTAGGCAACAAAAACCAAAATCGCAGGTTTAGAATAGCTGGTACCTGGCTTAACAGCAGGATCCAACAGTCCTAGCCAGCAGTGTGCTGCAGCTACCAAATAAGCCAATGCTTTCTACTGCTTTGTTAGACCACATTTGGAATTCTGCATCGAGATTTCCATAAAACAAGGCACACCTATGCATTTATGGAAATGCCACTAATTCCTCCCAACATTACAGTGAATGTAACAAACACACGTGCATTGTGATACCAAAAACGTGATCCTTGGTGCCTCTTTTGTAGATTTGAGCATTTTCTGAGTCAAAAGATGAAAAATCAGCTTGTTTTGAGAAATTGTAAATATTCAAGGTCAGATTGCTTGCAAACTAACTTTCAGGATGCCGCAATGCACGAAGATGTTGCCGAGGAGAAGTTGCAACTAGATTAGCTTGTTCCTAGGCGAGGTGCAGACTTACGACCTCACGCTCCTTTAATACAGTCTCAACCTTGGAAGCTTGAAGATGGGTGGACTTCAACTCCCAGAATCCCCCAGCCAGCAGCGCTGGGAGTTGAAGTCCACCCATCTTCAAGCCACCAAGGTTGAGAAACACTGCTTTAATAGCAGAATAATGGTCGGTTACAATTGGAGGTTTTTTACACTTAAGGCAAGAAAAATCAGCCGTAGAGGTGCAAACTAGGTGAAACTTGGCTTAATGCCAGGGGCTGTAACCTTGGTGTCCTACTGGACAATCTCTTTAAATAGGAGCCAATAGTGAGCGGCGGCAGCTCAAAGAGCCGGGCTGCCCGCCAATGGCAGCGGGGAGAGGGCGGGGCCACGCCAATGATAATGATGGCGGCGGCTGAGGAAGCGGAGAGGCTGCGGGGCGGCCTCCGGTCGGGGCTGCGCGTCCTCCGTGAGGAGCACCGGGGCTGGCGGGAGACGCTGGCCTCCTGCTTGCCGCTGCTGAGGGCCCTGGGTAACGTGGCCCGGCAGGCGGAGGCGGCGCGGAGGGTGTCCTTCGGGGAGACGCCGCTGAGGGCTTTCGCGCGGCTGCCGGAGCGGCTGCGGCTGAAGCAGCGGGCGGCCATGGAGGCGCTGCTGGCGAAGCTGCGCCGGGAAAAGCTGTAAGGGCCGCCGCTCCCTCCTTCCCTGCTGGGCCCCGCCGAGCCTCCTCTCCTCTCCTCATCCCTTCCCTTCCCTTGACAGGCCGGCGCTGCGGGAGGCTCGGGATGCCGTCGGGGCGAGCCTGGCGCCGCTGCTGGTGCTCGGGGGGCTCGGCCAGGACCCCGACCCGCAGCCCCGCCGCGCGCCTTCTCCGGCCTGGGCCGACTTGGTGGCCGGGCTGCAGGACGCCGAGGCGCTTTTCCACGCCGTGTATCCTTCGCTGCCGCCTCCTCAGCAGCGCGGGGAAGGGCGGGTTGGCGGGCGGGGCGGCTGCCGCCGTCTGAGGCCTCCTTAGCTGAGCTCCACCCAGGTACTTGGAAGCGCGGCTGCTGCTGCTCTCGCTCAGCTACCGGGACGTGGCGGGGGTGCAGGCGGGCCCCCAGGCCTGGGAGCGGATAATGCAGCGCGGGCAGCGTGGAGATCGCGTGGAAGGTAAGCGTTTCTTCGGCCCTCGCACCGGCCTTTCCTGCCAGGCCCTTGGGGGGAGAGGCGGGCAGACTGTTGACTGGCTCCCTAGGCCAGGGGTCAGCAACCTGCGGCTCTGGAGCCGCGTGTGGCTCTTTCATCCCTCTGCTGCGGCTCCATGTTGCTGGTCGGCTCTGCAATTGATAGGGCTTTCGGTTAGGACAGGTAGAGGGAAAAGGACGCCGCGCTAGGAGGAGATTTAATTGTTTTTAATGGTTTAACTTTTAATGTTTTATATATGGTTTTTAAATGCATTGTAAGCTGCCTTGAGTCTTCGGAGAAAGGCGGCTTACAAGTTGAACAAATAAATAAAATAGATTCTATGGTGGGGGACTTCCGGTTGGTTCCAGAATTGAATGGGGGCTTCTGGTTAGGACCTTTGTGGCTCTTTGAGTGTTTAAGGTTGCTGACCCCTGCCCTAGGCTGGCCGCTCCGGAGAGCCGCTTGGGCCTGGGCCCAGCACTGCCCCATGGCCTGGCTTGGAAAGCTCTTGGGCGCCTGGCAGGAGTCCTCCCTTGGAGGGGGGGGGCTTGAGGGGGGCAGGAACGCTCCTGGCTCGCTTGAGGTGCAGCCCAAGCTACCCAGCATGGTTCTGGAGAGGAAGGAACCTGCACCTCGGAGCTCCTGGAGGAAAAATCAAGAGGACCTGTGGCAGATGTTTTACCAAAACCGTTTTTCTCCCTTTGCCCAGAAACGTTGTTGAAAGCCGCCTTCTTCCTGGAGGACGCATGAGGCGCACAAAGCAGCTTGTTTGCTCACCCCCAGGGAAGGATTCTTCAGGAAGCCCTGCTATTCGAAGGCCCCTGGACTTGGAGTCTGCCCTGGGGTGAGCCCCACTTGCAGGATTGTGTTGTGACTAATTGCAGCTCAGGTTCTTTTCCAACCTGGAGCACAGTTCTTGACGGCATCTCAAATAAAAAAGATTTCCTGCCCTTAAGGTGTCCGCTTTCTCTTTTAGAGGAGCAGGCAGGGCAGGGCTTGCTTAAAGGGCCTGGTTTTGCCAAAAGGAGAAGATCAGAACTAGAGAGATGGGTGCCCAGAGATGAGCTGGGTTCTCTTCTGGGAATTTTGTGGCTTAGGAGGAGTCAATTGTTGGTAGCTCATTGTTTGCTGCTCAGGGTAGAGACCTGCTTCTGTAGAGGAGAAGAAATAGTTGCCTTGCAAAGATACAGCTGGGCTCATGGGCTTGGCCTAGTTTACAGTGATGCTCCAGGCAGAATCTGTTGTTCTCACAGCATTTTAGGGCTAAACATAACAATAAAAATTTCACTTTACTGCACTTGGTCCCTTTCTTCAAACGCCTCCTTCAGCATTATCATGTAGGCAATGCAGTGCTCTGTAAGACAGCGGACCCCAACCTTTCTGCTTTGGCGGACTGGTGAAGGGGTGGTGGTGAGAGGGGATGATTTAGCCCATGATGCTTGTGCAAATGCAGCTTCGCACGCTCGCCTGCCCACTAGTGTTGCCTGGTTTCCACCTAGTCACGGACAGGAGGTTTGGGACTCCTGCTCAAGGACATTCAGGTTTTCTTACTGCTCAGATTGGAGATGTGCTGTTTTTATGCTTTAAAGTAGTTGACCCACTTTAAGGGCACTCTTACACTTTCTCATGAAGAAGAGAAGCAAACTTGGGAAACTCCGAAGGGGAGGCGTCTCTTTCCTTACTTAGCTATTTAAAAAAAGGGGTAAGTTCCTTTGTAGACTCCACATCCAGACAACATCAACTGGACAACTAGTATTCATGGAAATACCAGTAACCCTCAACTTAAAAGCACAGTTGGGATCAGAATTTCCACTGTTAAGCAAAGCAGTTAAGTAAATCATGCTTGATTTTATTATCTTTTTTGTCATGGTTATTAAGTGAATCATGCAGTTCTTAAGTGAACTACACAGTCATTAAATGAATCTAGCTTCCCCCATTGACTTTGTCGGAAAGTTGCAAATGGCAATCACACAATCACAAGACACTGCAATGTCATATATAATGCCTACTGCCAAGTGCCTGAATTTTGATTTAAGTGTCTGTGGGGTTGCTGTGATAGTACTAAGTGCAAGGACTAGTTAGAAGTCACTTTTTTCAGTGCGATTGTAAACATGAACGCTAAACAAATAGTTGCAACTCGAGAACTACCTATAGTGTAAATTAAATAACCATTTTCCAGGATTGTATATCAGTTGTGGAGGGCAGCTGCAAGACATACCGTGTATCTCCGAAACTATTTTGGGCGCCAAAATGAGCACTAGGGCTTATTTTTGGGGAAACAAGATTTCAGGCAAGTGCATGGGGACCAACAGTACCTGGCAGCACCTGCAGCCTGCTGGTCCCTTGGTCAATGCACTCGGGGCCCGTGCAGCACAAGTGAGTTGATTCTCTGTCCAAGCAGCAGACAAGGCGGGGGGGGCAGGTAACCCAGACACGCTGCAGGAAAGCTGAGAGTGCCCAGTGGTCAGGTGGCTGCTGGAGGCTTGTCTTCATGCAGTGGCAGCGGCAGCAGATGGAGGCAGAGGCGCGGGGCGGAAGGCAGGTGATCACAACGCATTGCGTGGCAAGCCAAACACGCAAAGAAGAGCCTCCTGCAGCTGCCCCCCCACTCTGGGCCACCAACTGTCAGCTTTCCCGCAGCCCACTCAGTGTGTCCAGACCACCTGCCTTCTCCCACGCGCCTCTGCTGCTTCCACACGAAGACAAAGCCTGCGGCTACCAGCCACTCTGACCCACTGCCTCTTGGCTTTCCCGCGGCCTGCGGGGCACATTCAGATCGCATGCCTCCCCCCCTGCCTCTGCCTCCACCTCGCAGGTGCTCTATACAAGGTGTTTATTCTCCAGGCATTTTTGAATCAGGATCTCTGTACAGTCTTATGTCTTTTTGTATTCATGTTACAAAACCAAATACCTTGGTGTGAGTAAGTATGCTAATAAATGTAAGGAAAAAACCTCTCGTGGATTTACTACTTCATGGAAGTTCATGTTCTGATCATTCCTATTACATAGTGGATCAACAATATGATAAAATCCGGTGCTACAGAATTCTAACCACCCTATAGATCTTGACATAATTGTTTTATTTCTTCATAGAGACATCTTTAAGTGAAAAGTATCAAACATGACGAGGCCCTGTGATACCACTCTGGCCAGGAATGCTGAAGAAGAAGCTTTATACACTACTAACTCCCTGCTTTCCAAGACATTTGTCGAAAGCTAAGAATCCAAAACATGACCTGGGCACCACCTCATAGGAACTGCTGGAGAAGATACAGGAGGAGTCTTTGTACCCCTTATACTGGAGCTAAGATCCAGGCCATCCCCGACTGGGCCAACCACTTTGTAGGGGATTATCTGCTGGTTACATTAACAGAACAGAAAAAGAGTTTGGGTCCTTCTGGATCCCAAGACTCCAGTAATGAACATGGGCTTGCTAATAACATAGATGTTCCCTCTCACAGTTTTTCTTCTTCCAGCCAATTCCTGTGGGCTCCAGTATCCATCACAGTTTTGTCTCAATATGCACAAGTTCCTCCGGCATCCGGGAGAACTCAATGCTGAATGAGTAGCTGTCCTACCAACCAAGCATCTGATGTGATCCCTGCAGGACAATGAATTTCTACGACAAGACACTGACATTTCTGGAAGAGGGGGATGCTAAGAAGCTCTTTATACTACTGTTCTCCCACTTCCGAGGTCACTCGAGTCATGAAGCAGCGTCTCCAATTCATCAAATGGTCCCTTCACCCTCAAACCATCCAGTGTCTTCCATCACCAGGTTCTGTTCCTGACCCTGCAGCACCATCAGTTCCTGTCCTGATTCCTGTTCTTGACTCAGCAGCATCATGGAGAGTCACTCTAATAGATTTTGTTGTCCAACATCTACAAGAAACAAAGATGAGAGCTGAAACTCTTGAGTCTGATCACCCGTGCTTTGCAGTCCAGTTGGCTTGCCCGCAATCAAGGACCCGGTAGACCTGTACACTCTGAGGCTCTTAAAAACCTAGTTGCCAGGAATATCTGCACACCAATCAAGCATGGGCTCCGGTGACACTGGGACTCCTGAAAGCCTATGCTGGCTTGATCCAGTGATTCTGTCCCCTTGCTGCCTTTCAAGTAGACTGGGATGGACCGACTGACCATTTTGGCCTCTTAGAAATGACCTGCCACAGCTGCCAGGAGGGTACGTCTCCATGTGGCAGCTGGGTCAGGGGTTAAGTCTGATTTGTGGGTCAGTGGTGTTGCAACTGGATCAGAGGCGGGGGGGGGCAAGGTGTGGTTCGGATACTGGGTTGTCTGATATCGGGAGGATGTGAGTTTCTTTCTGGGTGGTCTGGTGGTGGGACCCTTTTGATCGACTAGAGGCGCTTCTTTATGGCTTCTTGCGAGCGACGTGGGAAGTGGGAGATCAGGAGTGTGTAGAGCATTTTCTTCATCTCCTTCTCCCAGAGCCGTTTGGCGTGTCGCTGCAGGGCCTCATCATCCTCCAGGATCCACATCAGGTGCTTTGTGGGTAGGGCAGCTACATGCTCGGCATTCACTTCTGCCAGGTGGCAGTGGGAATGGTGCATGCTGAGGCCCCGTTTGGTATTGAATCGGAGACCACATTAGCATGGGAAGCTGGGATGTTCCAAAGTGTTTGCAAGGCGCGTGTCATTGGCACATCTGTCTGTATTGCCAGAGTCCGAAAGTCCAGGGGGACCAGGACCCTTTTTCTTCGTCATTTCTGTAACCAGCAGCATACCCTCTTCAAGGTGGTTAGCCTAATGGGGGGTGGCTTGGATCTTAGCTCCAGTATGGTGTGCTTAAAGACTCCTCCCTTACCTTCCCCAGCGGTCGCCATGTGGAGGCACCCAAAAGCCATGTAACTAGGCCCTTTTAAGACCATCTTGCAGTCTTGCAGCATTTGAATGTGTCCCGTCTAAATTCAAAAGAACAATTTTTGAAGTTTCACACAGGATCTCTAGTGCTCCATTATGCACAGAGGCTGAAATGGTGAGAGTGGAGACCAGAATTTAGCAAGCTGTGCTCTCCTCTTCTGGGTGAAGCAGACTTTCCTCCCTAATGGGCTGAGTGCCACTGAAACAAATTTCAAAGTGGGTGAAAACAAGCGGTTTATGACAAGCTCAGCCTCCTCCTCTCCCTCTCTTTTCTGTAATCTCTGGGTTAGGAGCAGGCAAACAAACACACTCAAATGGGGTGTTTATGACATAGACCTACGGAGGAATGTGGGAAATGCTGCACAGCTTCCCACGACGGACAGTTAGAGGTATGTCTTGGTGCCAGCACTGTAACTCACACATCTAACTATTCCCAATCAGAGAAAGGTCTTTACATTATTGCGACATAACACACTATCGTCAGCAGGCCTAGTTGGAAGATGCCCCAAGAGGGACAGGTGTAGAAAATTTCATTGCTGAGGCTGTCCTGGGAGCAATCAATCAGCAAGTCATGTGGCCAGTCAGCTAGTCTGCAGGCTAGGCTTCAGAATTCTTAGATGTAGGCAACTATGGGTTGTCTGCCTTGCCTTATACCAGTGATGGCTAACCTTTTTTTCCTTGGGTGCCAAAAATGTGCGTGCACGTTATCGTGCACGTGCCCACACCCATAATGCAATGCCACCCATGCACGCCCCACCCCCCTGCGTAGGCACATGCAACCCCCACGCTGCCCCGCCCCTCCACACAGGCGTGCGTGACCCCCCACCCCCCCAGTGCACGCTCGCATGACCACCCCCATCCCACCCACCCCCGTGCCCCATTTAGGGCATAGCAGGAGTCCCTGAAGCTCGTTTCCGGTACTTCTGGGAGGTCCGTTTTTTGCCCTCCACATGCTCCCGAGGCTTTCCTGGAGCCTCCGGGAGGGCGGAAACGGCCTCCCCCGGCCTGTTTCTGGACTTCTGGTAGGCCTGTTTTTCACCCTCCCACAGCCTCTGCGCGAACCCTGTACTTACCTGGCATCCAAAACAGGCCACGTGGAGACTCCTGGGAGGGGCGGGACGGCATGGGCATGCACGCACATTTCCCACATGAAAATCAGCTGGCCAGAGGGAGATGCACACACATGCGCGGTGGAGCTGACCTAGGGTAACGGCTCGCGCGCTTGCAGGAATGGCTATGCGTGCCACAGGTTCACCATCACAGCCTTATACTGTAGATTTGAGTTTTATTCTGGCTTTTCTATCAGCTAAGGGCCCCTTGAACCACCTCTTCAAGGCCCATGAACTGGTTGAAATAGTGTAGCTCTGCTGCGTCATTGTCGTGGAGATCAATATCCACTCTGCCTCTTCTCC